CTTAATCATCTCAACCCTTTTGTTGAAACCAGACATATTAAATATAATTTATGGCGGCTTCCAATTTATTTTCAACGCCAGCATACCTATTATAGTGTTTCCATCTTCACTTAAGTCCGCTTCCGATAACGATAACGATAAGTATCTTGCGTGTATATATAACGCTGTTCACCTAAGTGACTCTTTTGCATAATGAATGAATGGACGGGTGAGTAAAAGACGGCGCGCATGGAGAACAAGAAGAAACTTAATGACTTGACATCTGCAGACATGGCCACCATAATACTTTGTATGTAAATTTCGCCAATAAAGTAATTTCTTTTAATGAGCCGCGGGCTAGCCAAGCAGCGAAAGAAATTGGGAATGAGACTGGGACTGGGTATGGGGAATGGGAGAGCCATTAAGTATCGCATAAAGTAACAAAATGAATTAGGCCCCGACAAGATGATGATGATGGCATGATGGTGGTGCTGGGCCCACGGCCCCTATCAACTCGGTAGTCCCGATGCGCGGAAGTAATTGAGTTAAATATGCACAAGATGACAGCATAAATTATGCGGCTCACAAAAAAAGAGTTAAATGTGGTCTTGTGGCAAACAAAGGGGTTGGAGCGAGAGGGTCGGCCGGCCGGTAAAAGACAATGACAAGAACCCCCAGTCCAAAGAAGACGAGATGGCAAACAAAGGGCAACAAATGAGGGAAACCTACTTATCAACGGCATGGGAACCGCACCGAAGCCCGTACCATTGAGCACTCAAGATCTGTGCTGTTCCTTCGAAGGGGTTGGTCCTCTACTACGACTACCGACACTTGAAAAAGTGTGCATAACAAATTCGATAATGAACTCTGAAATTTTCGCCAGATTGTAACCCTTTTCGCCATTGTCGGAAGTCCCTACCCCACATGTCACAGTTGAAATTTATTTTGCTGTCATAAATTTTGAAATAACAATTATTGCCATTTATAGCTGGCAAAGCGAATCCTTGGGATGGAATTCTATTTGCATAATAAACGCTTGTCCCAGAGGAAGACGTATTTCATCCTTGGCATTGTCATAATTTCTGGAAAAGGCTAAGTCCGAGGGATGACATCTGAAAGATTGAGGAAATGCTATTTTAAGCGCTTGGAATAATATGTCATTGTAGTTCCCCTGCATGTTTCAGTTCTTAAACTGTGAGTATGAAATATTTTCTCATATTTCAGCTACCAGTTACTTCTTAATATAGGTTCTCAATATATAACAAATTTTAGATCACTTTAAAAATGTATGTACATTTTGTTTTTAAATTATTTTTAATTTTGCCCGAGGAAGATGATATTTTTACGTATGTTCAAAGTTCTAAGTGAAGCGTACAAAATAAATCAACTGTGAAAATGGTTTGGTCGAGGTCATAAAGTAGAAATTTGTTCCACAATCTGCAGAAAAATATGTTGGAAATATGCAAATTTCCCTTAGTTTTCCTCTACTCCACCTCCTCGTAATTTTCATCCGAAAAATTGTACGGCCAGTGAGTGTGTGAGAAAAGTTTCGAGATGAGAAATCTGTGTGTAGGTACGCCGAATGCTCGCCCGGCTTCCTCACCTCAGCCATTTTCCGTTTCCATTTAAATGTAAATTAATGGTCAGTTAAGCTGTCAGCCATGGAGTTTTGGGTCTCATTCAGTCTGTTCTGCGGCTCTAACGATTCGGGTGGATGACGGGATGATGGGAATGACCATCGCAGCACATCACAGATTTGTGGTGTTAATTTGCTGTGAAATGTTGACTGACCAGTGACCAGTGACCGGTGGACCAGTTTACCAGTTGATGCCATTTGCCTGTAATTAATTGTCTGTGTTTAATGTGGGTTAATTTTATTTATGGCCAGCTCGTTATTTACATTTACGCAGCGGAAGGAGCTCAGATCTTCACACGGCCAGCAATTACAGAATAATATTTCGGATTTCATTCCCATTTTTCTCTTAGCTGCGTCTTTTCGTCCCAGAAGTCATCGTTGTTGTCAGGGATGGTTGCCTGCCCCAGACGTGGCAGCACTGACAGGACACTTCTGACAGCCCAGAGACAGCAAGGACTAAGCTTCTGCTAATGTCAACAGCAAACAGTTCAAATTGTGCAAAACATAAGAGGAAACGACTAAAAGTTTAGGTACTCTTTAACATTTTTTAAAAATCAAAAACTATAACTTCTTATAAAGTTTCCAATATTTTTTTTATTTTAAACCAACAACTAACTAGATTAAACTATAACATTTAACTAGAAAATAAAATAAGTAATATATACAGACATTAAAAAACTCTTTATAAATTCTTCTTTATTTAGAACGAAACAAAATATTGATTACTGCAGTCGAACTTCCATAAATATATTTTTTAAAATTGTTTGAGATAAATAATAAATAAATAATAAGTTCAATAAATTTGTCTGCAAAATAAGTAGGAATCGGAATCAAAAATTTAACATAAAAACATGCATTTAATGAAAAGCAGTTGCTGACCTTCTCAACTTACAAGCCTCTTATTAAACTGTATAACATCCCAACTAACATAGGGCATTTCGAAATATAAAATTGCATTGCCAGTGAGCTGGGGGGGGGAGGACCAACAAAAGGGCTGGAAAACAAAAGCCAAACAATAAGCAACAGTGACAGTGGCACTGTTGTCTTCTGCTCCACGTTGCCTTCTGAATCTGACAGTTGTCAACTGCTGTTGGCTGCCCCCTTTTTCGTTACTTCGCTGTCATCCTCCGACCCTCTGCTGTTTTTGAAATTCTCCTTATTTCTTATCAAATAAAAACACCTCTTAACGAGGTAAAAAACTAGTGACGACCGCACCTTCAACATACAAAAGTTCTGATATCAACATTTGTGACGAAAAATTATTACACTCGTCATTAAATAGACTTTCTAATCTTTTCTCATTCGGCCCGCCCTAGCAGACTATTCCAGCCTTTTTCCCTTCACAGGCATTTTCTATTGCAGCGTGCCGAATAAAAAAATATTAGAAAGTCTATTTAATGACGAGTGTAATAATTTTTCGTCACAAATGTTGATATCAGAACTTTTGTATGTTGAAGGTGCGGTCGTCACTAGTTTTTTACCTCGTTAAGAGGTGTTTTTATTTGATATCAGAAGTTTTTGTTTGTTTACATTTGCTCTCATAGGAGCTAATATATACATTTAAATTTAAATTGGTCAATCATAATTTGTAACCCATTGTATTTAAACAAATTAAGTTAAAAAGTATTTCAAAATACCTTTTAAACATGTCTGTACCTTTAGTAGTGTAGAACTTACAAACTAACGAAATTTAGCCATTTTTAGCTTTTTTCCCGCTAAAGTAGCGGCTTTTTCCAAAAGTCGTAGAACGAAAGATTCCTATATGGAACTCTTAAGTGCAAATTTACTGATTCCATGACCCTAAAATACAGTTCGGATACCCTCACACAAAATTCAATACTCAGGAAGCTTTAGTTGTTCGAGCTGGCAAAAGTGGCTATTTTCGTATAAAAATAACTTTTAAACGTGACTTTTTACAGTAATGTGTTATATACCAAAATTTAAGGAATCTCAAGGGCTATACAGTTTAAAGTTTTCAAGAAAATCGTTAGAGCCGTTTTTGAGAAAAATAAAAAAAAGCTAAAAAAAAAGTATTAAAAAATTGTCTTTTGTTCATATCTTTTTAATTATTACATTTACACAAATTGCATATAGAAGGCGTTTATAGCATTTAAAAATACCTTTCAAACAAGATGCAGCACAAGTCTGTAGCTTTAGTAGTATAGAAGTTACGGTTTTCCGAATTTTAGCTATTTATAGCTGTTTTCCCGCTAAACCAGCGAGTTTTTCCAAAAGTGGTAGAACAAAAGTTTTTTATATCGATGGGATGAACGTCATATTAAATTTTCAAAACTTAAGAAACATGTTTTGGACAAACTGACAAACTGACAAACTGACAAACTGACAAACTGACAAACAGAATTAAATTTTCATTTTGGGAAGAAGAAGGAAATCTTATTTTGGCTATAACTTTTGAACGGAGCGTCGGATTTTGACAAGTGACCCCTCATTCGACGGGTATTTTCAAAAGGAATACAACTAAAACATTGCGAGGGGGCATTTATCCCCACCGGCCCCAACAGCTCCAAATTTCGAAATTTTCATTTTTTCACTTTCACCGCTCTCTCTCCCAAGCCAATTGATTTTCTTAAAGTCTTGGTATGCAATCCTTTAAGTTTTTGCAATACCTTTTGATTGGTGTATTACTCATTACGATCGGACTATCACAGCAGATTTTCAATTTTGCGGCTATATAATAGTAGTCGCCTTCGCACACTCTCCTGGTGCGCTTCGTCACTACATGGACTGCCGTCCATAGTGATAAATATATTTTCGAGACTTTCGTAATGGCTCCGTGTGCAGCACACCGCTCCAGTTATGACATTCTACATCAGTCCGGAGCTCACCTACGTTGTGGAACTGGCCGGTATAAATCTAGTTCTAGTCCTCACCTACCTAGAATAAACTCGCAGCATTGTTGTCTTCGGCTGCGATCATAAATTTCCTTTTAACCAGTTTAGCAGTGGGGGAAAAAATATCATAAAATACGAAATGAAGTACGCTCGACATGCCTCGGACGCTGTAAAATTTATGTGACAATTTTGTCCAGAATAAATGACTGCAGACTGGCCAGAGAAGGATGCCCCATATGTGTAGGTGCGCATTCAGGTTTGCGGAAGGGTAGCAAGCGGGTGTGAAGGTTTGAGAAACTCCCAATTTAAAACATGAGAAGTTAAATATGAAATATAAAAATATCTTTACGGATCATTTTATTATTGTTGTATATTACTAAAAATTTAAGTCCGCCCACAGGCTTAAAAAAATTAAACAATATCACAAAATAAAGTTTTATAAAATGTAATTCGTAGTTCTGAAATATTAAAAATATACTATATTCCATTATTACTGCTTGCAATAAGTTGGGAGAGGGATTAAAGAAAATACATTAAGCAATTTCAATTTCCATGGGAAAGGGTGCACCCTCTGTTGTTGGCGTTGTAGTAGTTGGTGTAGTACTTGATGTGTAGTAGTCATCTAAAACGATTTTATGGTCGCCACCTGAATTCAGTTGGATCTGATACTCAATCCAAGGTCTCATTTTGGAAACATCGGTGTAGGCTGCAGCTATTTTATCTCCGCATCCGACTCCGAAGTTGACGATGCCGACCTGCTCATAGCGAGTGGGATCGCCTTGGATCGGACAGGCAAGTGGGGCTCCTCCGTCGCCTTCGCATGAATCCTTGCCAGCCTCTCCGCCGGCGCAGATCAGACTGTTATGAAGCTGGAAGGCTGAGGTAAATATTCCCTGCAATTGCCTCTGGCACGTGGCGCTGTCCACCAACGGCACCTCGATCTTCTTCAGGAGATTCATGTAGCTGATGTCGTTCCAGTTCTTCTTACCCCAGCCACTGACGATGCATCGATTCCATGAGAACTTCCAATCCGGTGGCGGCAGGCATATGAGGTTTATGTGGCGGGACAGTTGAAGAGGTCTGGCGAGGAAAAGAAGGGCCGCATTGTTGGCCCCGGTTACCTCATTGAATTCAGCATGAAGCACGATCTTCCGGATCAACACGTCCTCATGTTTTAGCAGCTCGGTGTTGGTATCGAGATCCCATTCTCCAGCCCGCACAATGAACTGGTTCTCGGCGAGATTCCGGGTCACACTGGTGGCCGTGAGCACCACATCCGGTGCGATCAGGGAGCCACCGCCGATCGGCTGGAGATATTGGGCATCCAGGAGTACCACCATCCAGGGAAGTTCGCCCTCCTGTGCGGTGTCCCCCGAGTTGGCTATGGTGAAGGTCAGGCCATTGCGATTTACGTTTCCACAACCCTGCATCGGTCGATAGGGTACCTGATTCGTGATTGGAAATGGTGACTGTAAAGGCAAGTGATTGTTAATAAGAGTTAATCGGTTGTTATTTATATGAACATTACAATTTCCGTGATTGGACAGCAGGTTTCGGCAGCAGAGCATCCTCCATTGCCTCTTTCTACAAATTGGAACTGCATGATGGGCGTTCCGGTTTCGGAGCCAACTCTGCAATGATTTCGCGCCACGCACTTTTTTTCGTAAGAATTATCGCAATAAAGGGCCTGGACCCCGTAGAGCCCCAGAAGCAGACAAAGGATCGAAAGGCGAACCATTTTGATCGCCGGAATCTAAGCAACTGTTGTCTGCCTCTTAAGTTGCCACTATATATAGGCAACACAAGCGAAAGACTTATTCATGGAATTTGATAAGGTCTGATAACCCCGGAGCATTAGTCGGAAATAAAAATTCGTTCAAATTATCAATTTGAAAAAAACCATGATGAGTACATTTAAAATATAATTTCCAATGTGAAATTCCAAGAATGCCAAAATCATGTGTCACACATTCTTAAATATAAAACATGTATTGTGGAAATAATAGAAACATACATATAACCAATCGATTAGGTTTTAAAAAAATTAAGCAAAGAGTCAAAATCTTTCTTTCTTTAAAATCAACAGAAAGAAAATGGAGATAAAATTTAGGAACAACATTATTAAAGAGAAAATTTAAATGTAGGTCTTGAAATAAAAGAAAAGTGCTTTATATCAGAAAAATATAAAAAATGTAAGTTCTAGTCTGTACATCTTCTTTTAAAGAATTGTGACATTAAATATACACGTATATTTTTGAGAAATAAAATAAATAAAAATACTTACAATAGCCTATTTTTAAACATTTTATTTATGTTGATAATATTTTTTTAAGGTACCTGGAATTCGAGACTCTTTTCTATCCACTCAACTCTCTAACTCTCCTTCTTTCACAGAAATTAGTTGGGTTAAAAGGCACGCACACATCGGGGAGGAAAACCAGTAAGAGGAAGGAAGAGCGATGCAAGTCCTGGCCAGCATTTGGCTCCGGCGATTGCCAGTCCGCAATGCCCACAAAGTGGGTGCCCACTAAAAACTAACCCACTGGCGATGGGTCGGAAAAAGAGTGGGGTGGCCATGGTGACCATGGGGGTTGTGGAGATTGCGGCTAGAGAATGGGAGGGGAGGGCTCGGCACTTCAGCACTTGGGCTCTCCGTTCGCTTTTGTCTGTTGTCGGTCATGTTGCATAAATCTCATTTTGGGCTTTATTTACTCACAAAATGTTCACGTTTCGAGCCGGTCCGCCTTGCCACTTCCTGGGCAGCCACCTCTCGCCCTCTCTGTCCGGCAAATAAATTCATTTAGTGGCATTTAGTGGCCCCTTTCACCTTATTGTCCGTGGGCCATGGCCATCCGATCTCACCCCCGGAAGACCCGGGGTCCAGGATATTGCTAGTGTCCCATGTGTGTGTGCATTTTATGGCAGTCCCTGCGTTTTTGCGGCCAAACATGAAGTGAAAATTACACACAGACACATATGGCAAATGTAGCGCAATTGTTTTGCCCCACCCCTCCATTGAGCCCTCCCACTCTTGTTGTGGCTGCTGGATTTGGCTTTAGTCGGCAGTTAATTTTCATATTTTCCAGCCGCACTCACATACCAACCCTGTACCACCCACCGCACCCACTGTGCGGACATTTCGTCGTAAATAAATTTAACAATTTATTTAGATTGCAATGACAGGCGGATGCTATTAAAAGCGAAATTTATGGGGTCCTTTTGGCGCTCTTTAGCTGGGGGAAGATGGAAACGGAAGATGCACAAATGAACTTTATGATGTTGCATACACAGCAGTAGACCAAAAACTAAAGGACCTATTAAGAACTAAGTATCCACTTATTTTAAATTTATAGATATTTTTTAGACCCACAAGTGTCTAATTTATCATTTTAGTTTGATGGAAATATAGACAACCATTTTTCGGATACCCTCAGACTTCTAAAAAAGCAGGAAATGCTATTTCAATAAATCAAAATCCTGCTGACAGCTGAAGATAAAAAATCTTTAGAACTGCAACAGAGTTCTAAATGTAACCACTTGACCTAAGGAGGACATCAATTGGAAATTTGAACTTTCATCCTGACAGATTTTTGTTCAAGTATGGCACTTGACTACATAGGGTCACCAAAACAGATCCATAGATCCATGTTATTTACACAAAATTTGTTTTTTTTTCGTTGCCGAGCAACATGTGCAGTAATTTCATGAAAATATTCCGGATTAAATTATTTATCGACAACGTTTAACTTACCCCAAAAGTGAAAACCCAAAGGAAGTTGGAAAAGGGTTAAACTATGCACTGGGAAAACCACTTTTGCCATCTTTGTCAAGCTGGTGGAGGGCAACCGTGCGTTAAACAAACTTCCTGCATAATCCCAGGCCCATGAATCTTGTCAACCACCACCACCCCCCTCCGATCGGAATAGAGGAAGTTAACCCCGGTTCGGTTTTGTTTGCCTGAAATTGACTGATTACCCACAAAATTACCAACATTTATTTGTGCGTAATTTGAGACATTAATAAAAGTTCCTTTTATGTTTGCCCTCGCCTTTGGGTTCGATGGTGTGGCGTTAGTTTGCCGGATGTTACCCCTTTTCATGCCGGCATCTGACAGTTGGCTTCTAATATTTCAAAATTTGTAACATTTGTTACACTCAAATGACATCAGCTAATTAGCCCAAGACAGCTACGAATTTGCTGATGTTAATTAGGTTTTATGACCTCCACGGGAGATCAGGTTCGTGTTCTGTGGGAATAACGTAAAAGAGTGTTGAATGTGTGATTGTATGGAATAAATTTTTTGTTATTTTTTTATACATTTTTTTTTTTTTGGGAAGAAATTTGTTTTTTAAAAATATAAAAAAGGTTCTTAAATTTCGTTTTCACTTGAAATATCATAAATGTCCCCACATATCTTTCTCATTGCTTCCTGAAAATTGGCTGTAGTGCGTAATTTATGACCCGTCTGAGCCCAAGTGTTGACGGAAGTTGTGAGAACCATTCAATTTTCTTGGGGTCCTCATTGTTAGAAATTCGGGGAACTAATTGAGCGTGTCTCATGAGGTCTCGGCACTTGAAACCAGCGGAGACGAGCAACCGGCATCACAGACTTCGACTACCGAGAACTCAATTTACTTTTTCATTAAGGCGAGCGAGGATGGCTGCTAAGGATTGGAGAACCCGAGGTGGAGGGCACTTGAGTGCAGCTCCAATTATGGGGAGAAACTGACGTCAGCTCGCCGCTCGACTCGACTCATAATGAAAACATTTAACCTGTCGTCGTCAGTGATTCAACATGAAAATCATTCCGCATCCCGGGCGAGGGGCTTCGGTTTTCCTCTGTCTATCCGCTTTTTCAATTATTCGAGCGAGATGCGATGCCCAACGCCACGGATCCTTTCGAGGAAAAGGAAAAGGGAAAAAAAGCGAAGCACTTGAGTGGGAATTGACAGAGAGGCAGGTTTCAAGTTGAGTGCATAATACACCTTTCCTTCTGCGCGGGCTCCTTGTTGTCATTAATGAGACGTCTTCTTCAGGCCCGGATGCCGATTCTGGGCCGGATCGGGCGTTCCTTTGCTCCGGGTGCACAGTCATTTCCACTTCAGCTTGTCAAAGACTATGGACAGGGCCCCTCGTCATCTTTTGTGGCAGGCCAAGGTACCAGGCCAGGTACCGCGTCCTCAACTTCGCTACTTCTCCAACTCTCCACCACTCCGCACCACAGACCCCACACCCTTTTCTCGCAGTGTGTGTTTTGGACATTTCGGGCATTATGTCGCGCCTACTTTTTCCGCCTTGCGCCCTCTATTAAATGAGCGACGTCCGCGCCTTTCCTTTGATCTTACGCTTCGTTTCTAATTTGATTATAAACGCACTCTATCGCAAAACAAAATAGTCGGGCATGTTCTCGGGCTCACACTCGAGCCCTCTGGCTCCTTTGATACCCTTTAATGGGGGTTGATGGTTGTAGTGTTCATCTTAAAAACATAAAACGATTTTAGGCTACAAAAATAGAATATAATATATTTTGGTTACTTAAATCATTTTTTTTATAATTTTAATAAAGCTTTTTAATTTCAAGTTTTTAAGACAGAATTGAAATGTTATTTTGTTATGAATTTTTCATTACTAAATATTCTATTCTGTTTTCCCAATTATGAATATAACCTTTTCTAAAAATTAATTCATTACTTTAAAAATATGTAGCTTCTAGTTTTTATCTGTTTTACTTATTTTACTGGTAAAAAATCAATATCGCTTTCACCCAAAATTAATAAATGAGAGCTCTTATCTGCCTTTCAATCATCCTGAAACCTTTTAAATATGCATATCTAGCTGATGGGTATCTTAAAGTGCTGATATCTAATTCAGGAATCTACCTTGTTCCCATTCTAAACGTCTTCATTTTCAGCTCGAATGCTCTTCGGCTGGGGCAGCACTTTCATTCCACTCACCCACTTGCAAACACACTCCAAGTCCATTCCACATCCCCATCCACATCCACATTCACTGATGTTGATGCTGATGAGTGCGCGCCGCGGCTTACTCAATGACGCGTTGAAAGTGCCATAAAAAAGGACATGAAGACATCGCCGGGTCTTGGGTCTTGGAGGGCAGACAGAGACGGAGAAGTCAGGTCTGGGGGTTAGGTGCTGACAGCATTTTAAATGAAATGAAAACGAGATGCTTTCACTTTGGCCCGCCACCGAATGTCTCACTTGGGTAGCTTCTTCTCTCCGTTTTGCTTAGATTGCCAAAGTAAGCAGAAGTAATGTCAGCGACCTACATGAGTATCTTGATTTGGAGTGGGGGAAGAAAACCCCCTGAGTACAAAAAGGATTTAATGTGATGTTCCGTTCAAAGAATGATTACATAACGATTGGCGTAGCTTCAAATCGATCTGCTGATGGTAAGGGGTGATATATATACTCGTAATGAATTTATTAGTAAGTTTTGATACTCAACTTTAAAAGTATTCTTGAATGTTAACTTCAAAGTTATATGTTTCCCAACTTTTAGTATCCCCGCAATAATATTCTTTATACTACATTTCATGATCCATAAATTTCGATTTATTTTGTTCAACTAAATATAATTTCCATTTATAAGCCCCATCAAAGCGACCGACCAGATACCGAAGGAAATAAAGGGTGATACGTTCGACGTTTTCCAGCCACGTGACGATAAGCAGGCCCATCAATAAAGTAACACTAAAATCGGAGGGATGCGAGCGAAATGCGAA